CAGTGCTATGTAGAACTTTACTGTTATCCTGTTGGAATGCAACAGAGCACAAACTGTTACGAAGTAGTTGTTGGATATATGTATATTGATGTAATAAACTAATGATACTGTATTGAGGCTACTAAATTTTTGAATAAAATTTAAATTGGGAGAACAAACTACATAAAAAGTTTAAAAGGAACAATACCTTGAGCTCAAATAGGACCAGGAATAATTCATATTCCAATCAATCCAAATGGAAAATTATATTTTTTTGAGTATTGGATAGTATAACTCAGAAGGGTTTTGTCCCAGTAGTGGATCAAAATTAGCCAAACTAAATGCTGTTCTGGTACTCTATAACAAAACCTAGTGCGTGACCTGAAAGGATGAACATGTTTCCAAATAACTGCATCCTAGAAGAAAGCTCATGAATGTGTGTGGAAATACATATCTAATTCTCAATAGGTATAAAACCCATCCTTCTACTCAGAAATTCCAGGCATATAAAGAAGCAAGAAAATATGACCCACAATAAAGAAGCAAATCAATTAATAGATCCAGAAATGACAAAGATAATAGAATTAGTGGACAGAGACATTAAAACCGTTATTTCGACTATATTTTATACAATCAAGAAGCTAGAGAAAACATGTTAAATAGAGACATGAAGATGTAAAAAGATCCAAATCAAACTTTCAGAAGTAAAACTATAATGTTTGACATGAAAAATGCACTGGATGGAATTAACAGCAGAAGTAATTGCTGAAAATTTCCACATTTGTTGAAAAATAAAGACACACATCCAAGAAGCTTAACAAATCTGGAGCACAAGAAATATGAAGAAAATTATAAGATACATTATAGTGAAATAGCTTAAAATCAGTGATAAAGAAAAAAATCTGAAAAATAGCCAGAGGGGAAAAGAGCACGTTACATATAGAAGAACAAAGATAAGGATGGCAGGAGTCGTCATTATATTTCATTGGAAACAGTGAAGCCAGAAGATGATGGCTCAGAATCTTTTAAGTACTGATAGCAAAAGTGGTCATCTAGAACTCAGTACACACCAAAAATTTATTTCCAAAATGGAGATGAAATAAACACTTTTCCCAGACATATAAAAGCGAGATAATTCATCATCAGCAGACCTGCATTACAAGCAATGTGAAAAGATGTCCTTAGGCAGAAGGAAAACTATACCAAAGGGAAATCTGTATATAAATCTGAAAATGAATACAGAGTACCAGAGATGGTAATTATGTGAATAAATATAAATTACTCTTATTATAAGAATATTTAAAGTAAAAATAATAAATGCATTTTGAGTTAAAAGTTAATAACAACAGGAGGGAGCAACGTTGTTGTAACTAGTTTGAGTTTTTGTTTTGGGAGATGAGGTCTCACTGTGTTGACCAGACTGGCCTTGAACTCTTGAACTCCAGTGATCCTCCTGCCTCAACCCAAGTAGCTGGGACTTGAGGCACGTACCTTTGCACCTGGCTCTATTGTAAGGTTCTTAAACCATACCTGAATTGGTATAGTATCATTTGAATTAGACTGTCATGAATTAAAAATGTATACTTATAAATTCTAAAGCAATCACTGAAATAACAAATAATATAGTTAATTAACCAACAAAGGAGGTAAAATGCAGTAATAAAAGCAGCTCAGCTAACCCAAAAGGAGGTAGAAAAAGAAGACAACTAGAACAAAGAATAGATGATATGGATAGGAAACTAATAGCAAGATGATTGAACAATATCAATGAGCAAATTAAATGTAAGTTGTGCAAATGTCTCAAAAGGCAGATGTTGTTAGATTGAATTAAAAAAAGCTACAAGAAATCTACTTTAAATATGAAGACACAAAGGTTAAAGTAAAAGCATAGAGTAAGATATTTGTATAGCTACTTTAATTATTTTCATTATTATTGCTAGCCAGGCATTAATGAAAATAATTAAAGTAGCTATATAAATATCAGACTAAGATGTCAGAGCCAAGACTATTACCAGGAATAAAGAAGATTGTTTCATAATGATAAGGAGATTAATTCATCAGGAGGACATAACAGTCCCTAACATTCGTGATCTAATAGTAGCTTCAAAAATCTTGAAGCAAGAATGTTAAGAACTGGAAGGAGAAATAGACAAATTCACACTTAGAATCAGAGACTTCAGTACCCCTCTCAATAACTGATAGGAAGGTAGAAAGAAAATCAGTGAAGATATTGATGACTTGAGCAACACTGTCAAATAGCATATCCTAATTGATATTAATTGTACACTTCACCCAACAACAGTAGAATGTGCCTTCTTTTGAAATAAGAATGGGTCATAAAATGAGCCTCAATAAATTTAAAAGGATTTCAGTTGGACAGTGTGTATTTTCTGACCACAGTGGAATTAAGTTGGAAATTAGTAACAGAGAGGTATCTAGGAAATCTCCGAATATTGGGAAATTAACATATTCCAACTAGTTCTTGGGTCAGAGAAGAAAATGAAAAGAGAAATTACAAAGAAATTATTGAACTGAATGAAAATTAGAACACATCATCAAAATTTGTGGCATGCTACTAAAGAAGTATACATAGAGAAATTTATAGCACTAAATATTTGTATTAGAACAAAGGTCTTAGTTCAATGACTGTTAGTTTCTTCGTTAAGAAATTAGAAGAAAAAGAGAAAATTAAAACCCGTAGTATGTAGGCAGGAAATAAGAGAATGAGGACCAATGAAATGAAAAATAATAAAATTATAAAGAGGAAAGAAAAATTGGCAGAGCGTGGTGGCTTATGCCTGTAATGCCAACACTTTGAGAGGCTGAGTCAGGAAGATTGCTTGAGCCCAGAAGTTCAAGACCATCCTGGGTAATACAGACTCCATCTCTACCAAAAAATAAATAAAAACCCCAAACTGGCTTTTTAGAAAATCAAATTTACAAGACTCTTGTCAGAATAATCAGATAGAAAAGGCACAATATCAGGAATGAGAGCTCTATCTTCACTTTAGATTCTTCAGGTGTTTAAAAGATGATAAATACTATAAACACCTTTATGCCAATAAATTCAACAAGTTAAATGAAATGGCCACATTACTTGAAAGGCACAAACTACCAAAACTCACTCAAGCGGGGGTGGGGGTGGGGGAGTGGGGAGAGGGGAGGGAGGGAGGGAGATAATATGAGTAGTAATTTATCTATAAAATAAATTGAGTTTGTTTTAAAAACTTCCTCTCAAAGAAAACTTCAAGCTCAAATAGATTTGCCTGGTGAATTATACCACAAATTTAAAGAAGAAATACTTGTGATTCTGTACAAAGTGTTCTACAACATTGAAGAGGAGAGAAAATTCTTTCCAACTTTTATGAAGCCATCACAGCACCCAGAAACCCAAACCAGAGGAAAACAAGAAATCTGTAGTCCAGCATCTCTCATGAACACAGATACAAAGATTCTTAATAAAATATTAAATAGAATTTAACAATATATAACAAGAGCATTACATCACTCAAAGAGAGTTTATTCCCAGAATGGGTTGTTGGTTTGATATTTGAAAGTGAGTCAGTATAATTCATATTAGCAGACTAAAAAGGAGAAATCATATAATCATCTCAATAGATGCATGAAAAACATTTGGCAAATCCACCATCTGTTCCTGATAAATGCCTTATACAAGGGAGTAGGGGAGGACTTTGTTAACCTGAGAACAGACATCTACCAAAAAAGTTCTATAACTGACAGCATACTTAATGGTGAAAGACTAGCTTTGTTTCTAAGATCCAAAACAGGTCAAGAGTATTCTCACCACTTACTGTGTTGGAGGTTCTAGGCAGTGCCCTAAGGCTGGAAAAGGAAATAAAAGACATCCACATCAAAAAGCAAGAAATAAAACTGTCTTTATTAGCAGATGATGTGGTTATGTAGAATGGCCTATGGAATTTACAAAAGAACTCCTAGATAAATGAGTTCAGAATGTTTCCAGAGTATGAGATACACAAAAATTATGATCCTATTTTTGTAGTGTGAAAACTACATATGAAAAATGACCAAAAGATGTGGTTCTCTATGTTTTTTAGGTTCCTAAATTTTCTTCAATTTTTTTCCTCCATTTAACTTTTCTAATTTTTTGGCAAGTGTTTACTTTTGTGATGATAACAGCAATAAAATATATTGTTTTCAGAAATAAAATTTTAAGTCTCACTATATAAGTGTAAATGTAATAGAGTTTACAACATCTCTCTATTCAAATCCTTACATTTAAAACATATAGGAGTTTACTTACATTCAGTTCATGTTTTCTTATTCTGACCTGCCATTTTATACATCAGTCAGCTATGCCACCTCTCCCTGACCTCCAAAATATAAGGCATTGTGAGGACCTGTGATTGCATTCATAATTCATTTCCCCCCACATATTGATGAGTGTCACCTGTGTACCAGGTACTGGGGAATGCAGTGATGAAGAGACTTCATGGCCTCTGAAGCTTACACTTTTTCCATCTTCACCTCTTGCCATTTTCTGTCTTTGCTTATTGTATTCCAGCTATGTGAGGCTTCTTTTAGTTCTTGGAAAGCCCATTCCCTCTCATGGCCTCACGCAATCAAGTTTTCTCTGTCAGGGAAATGTCCTCACACCCCCACCCCTCCACCCCTCAACTCTGTACTATGTTAGCTTAAACGTCACTTCCTCAGGGAAACTTTCCCTGATCTCCCTGACAGGGTCATATACTTCAATAGCACCTTACACTTTTCCCTTCCCAGAATGTATCACTGTTGTATTTAACACTTTTTGTGTGATCTCTAGTTAGTTGGAAATACTGCTGAAGGCTATTATTTCCATCACAGGTATTGTTCTGCAGGAGTGGGCTTTAGTTTATTTTGAGCTGTTAAGTCTGTTAATTCATCTTATGATAAAACACCTTGGCCTCTGGCTGAAATACTAGCACAATCTGTGGCCAGGATTAGATGGAGCGAATCTAGTAGTTAATAACGTACCATAAACTTAACTGTTGGAATTTCAGGTAACACAGGAAGAAGGACAACAGTTAGCACGGCAACTTAAGGTCACATACATGGAGGCATCAGCAAAGATTAGGATGAATGTAGATCAAGCTTTCCATGAACTTGTCCGGGTTATCAGGTAAGCAAAACATATTCTAGAAGTATGTCTTAATAAATCACTATTAAGTGTTTTTAGTAAGAAAGAGGATATTTTATTTAGGAGTGATTCCTTTCTAGGGATTAATGCACATGGTGCATTACAATTTTTTTTTGTTATGTTTTGAGATGGAGTCTCTGTTGCCCAGGCTGGAGTGCAATGGCACCATCTGAGCTCACTGCAACCTCTGTCTCCTTGGGTTCAAGTGTTTCTGATGCCTCAGCCTCCCAAGTCGCTGGGATTACAGGTGGCCACCACCATGCCCAGCTAATTTTCTGTATTTTTTAGTAGAGACAGGATTTGGCCAAGTTGGCCATCCAGGCTGGCCTTGAACTCCTGACCTCGGATGATTCACCCACCTTGGGTGATCCACCCGCCTCGGCCTCCCAAAGTGCTGGGATTGCAGGCTTGAGCCACCATGCCTGACTAACATTACAGTTTTCAAGTACATATTCTAGGCACATCTAGAATATAAAATCTAACTTAATTACGAAGTAGAAAGTACACATAGAATTTTGAAAAGAATAAATGCTGCCTTTACTGATGACAGCAGCTAACTTTTGCATGATAATCCCTCCCAGATTCTGTGCTAAATGTTTAACATGTATTATTATATGTAATTCTCACCATAGCTCAATAAACTAAATAGTGTTTTATCCTAACTTTCAGAGGAGAAAACAAAGGTACAGAAAAAGAAGTAAAATAACTTGTTCAAAGTTTAGACATATTAAATGGCAGAACTGGGGCTTCAATTCAAATCTCTGATTCCAGAGCCTGTGCTCCTAGCTTTCTTTTTATTCCAACACATCTCAGGCTAAGAGTAAGCCAGATGGTAGAGATTCAATAATCCTGCAAAGTGTGAAGTATAACATCCTACACAACAAAGAATTTTTCCCTAGGGGGCCCCTGTGGTTTAAAAAGTGTTAATGGGTTCCAAGAAGCTTAAGGTGTTGGTTAAGGTCTGATAAGAGTTAATAGATATGTTTGTGGGTGAGAAAGATGACGTTTCTTTAGTGAGTAGCATTTGATTTATTATTTTGGGTCTTGGTGCCTGGCCCCTATTTCACACTGTGCTCTGTAGATCTGGGATTCTCTGCTAGTGAGACAGTTTGATAGGAATGTGAAGTGGACTCATGTGTTGTGTTGTGTTGTGTTTTGAGACAGAGTCTCTCTTTGTTGCCCAGGCTGGAGTGTAGTGGTGTGATCTTGGCTCACTGCAACCTCCACCTCCTGAGTTCAAGTGATTCTCTTGCCTCAGCCTCCCAAGTTGCTGGCACTACAGGTGTCTGCCACCATACCCAGCTAATTTTTTTTTTTTTTGTATTTTTAGTAGAGATGGAGTTTTACCATGTTGCCCAGGCTGCTCTTAAAACTCCTGAGCTCAAGTGATCCGTCTGCCTTGGCCTCCGAAAGTGCTGGGATTACAGGCATGAGCCACCACACCCAGGCTTCATATTTATTTTGTATCTAAGGTAAATTGGCACCTGAGCTATGATCTTCTTGTACTTACTAGCCCCTTGCCAAAGCATTCTCTTTCTGTGAAGAAAAAAAGAAAAAGTGAAGGTTATAGGTTTTTCTTTTTTAGTAGTTGGTTAAAAATCCCAGTCCCATTATTTTTTAATGGGTACAGAGTTTCAGTTTTGCCAGATGAAAAAGATCTAGAGATGGATGATGATGACGGTTGCACAACAACATGCATGTACTCAATACCATCAAATATATACTTAAAAATGGCTAAGATGGAAAATTTTATGTTGTATGTATTTTACCCTCTTTCCCCATTCCAGTTCCATTTTAGTGTCAAGCAACTGATGAGACAGTGCCTTCTTAACGTAATTATGATGGCCTTTTTGAAATGTTGTCCTTTGTTTTGGTTCTTAGGCTCTCTCCTTATCCATTAGTAATTCAGGAATGAGGTGGGGAATGGAGGAGGTTTTTTGTTTGTTTTGTTTTTAATGCCAGGCACTATTAAATATATTTAAATATCACAAGATCTTTAATCCTTACAATAACTGTTAAAGGTAGGTTGCCGTTATTCCCTTCTAAAAAACTGAGGCTCAGATTAGATCAACTAACTTGTCTAATACTGAATTTAATAAGTGGCAGAATAGGGATAAAACCTGCATACCTCATAAAGGTAATTTTATATTGCACTATAATGATGAATCTTTATTCTTAAGTATGCCTTAGAGTCATGGAATTTCAAATTGGGAGGGGAATTTAGAGATTACTGAGTCTGGTATCTCATCTGATTCAGACCTCATCCATTAAAGCAACTTCACAGTTCTGTTTATGCTGGTGTTGATGAATTTGTGCCCTTTTTTGGTGAGGGTAAGGAAGAGAGAAATCTTTGCTTTGTTCCCTAGTTGAAGTTTATCATTGAAAAGCATCTGCACTTAAAGTGAACTTGTGCAAAAAGTAACCTGTATTTGTAATAGTAGATTACCAAGAAGGCAATTATATTTTAGATTTTTTTATTTTACAGGAAATTTCAAGAGCAGGAATGTCCTCCTTCACCAGAACCGACACGGAAAGAAAAAGACAAGAAAGGCTGCCATTGTGTCATTTTCTAGAATCCTTTCAGTTTTAGCTACCAACTGTCAGGAAAAGCCCTCATCTCCTCTTCCTCTCCTCAGTTTACATCTTATTTGGTACCTTTCTAGCCTTAGACAAATGATCACCATGTTAGCCTTAGACCAAGAAGCTGGCTAGTCAGTCCTTTCCGTGAAGCTAATACAATGGTCATTTCCAGACAAATTTAAAGAAAACACTAAGGCTGCTTCAAAGATTATCTGATTCCTTTAAAATATGTGTCTATATACACAGACACTTTTTTTAAGTGCTTACATTTTAATAGAGATGAATCAGTTTTGGAATCTAAGCTGTTTGCCAAGCTGAAACCACAGGTTGCGAAATAATTTTTAACTTTTGGAATCATACTGCCTACTGTTACTCTAAATAGAAATATAGGGTTTTTTTTTTTAATGTGAATTTTTGCCTATCTTTAAAAATTTCAATGTCAGCCTTTGTTAATCATAAATACACTGAATTGAATCTACAAAAGTGAAACATCTCAGACCTTTACTGATACTACAGCTTTTCTTTTCTGGTGGCCAAAATACCAAAATGCCTATTGTATTTATGGATTAAAAACTGCTCATAAAAGCCTGTGTTATTACTCCTACTCTTGAAGATGATAATAGTCTACGTGGTCAAATATTTGGACTCATTCAGGACTTAAACATTTCAGTGTACTTGATTTTTTAATTTAACTCTTTTTCACAGCCACGCTAAGGGTAAAAATAGTTTCTGTCTTCCTTTTCAAGTATTTCTGGATAAGGGATTTGAAAAACTAAAACTGTTTTTGTTTGATGTAATATAAAATATGGAATTGATCTTTCCGGGGTCAGAGATGATTAATGTTTTTGCTATATACTTTTTATACATTATTTTCTTATCAAACTAGTTAACAAGTATTTTTATATGTTTGTAAGCAGATATGCTTTCACAGCATACCTTGTGTAAATGTAAAGATAAGTATTTAATTCTCACTGTTCACTTTTAACTGACAAAAACAAGTGGAAACTATAGAAACTGTGGTAGAACTTTTACTTGCTGGTCTGGTCTTGGTTGTACCCATCTTTGGCCAGTCACATATCTACTCAAGAAACCTTCCCAATAGAGTACAACAGGATGAGACTCTGAAATCACTTTTAATATTCCCTGCTAGATATTGATTGTTATATCAAGTATTAAGTGTAAGCTTTTAATGGACAATTAGTATAACTGTGGATGGCATCTGATTTTGTTTTTAATTCTGTGGATTGTGTTTAAGCAATTCAATAGTATGTTCCTGATTTTGAGATGCTAAGTGGTATTGCACAGTTGTCACTTTATCAAGTGTGTACAACAGTCCCATGAAGTTTATAGAGCATACCCTTGTATAGCTTCAGGTGCTAGAATTAAAATTGATCTGTTATCACAAGATGATGCTTGATTACTCATTGTGTTAATTTAGTGGTTTCTTAAGGGAACAAGTGTTAGCAAAACTTATTTTAGTAGCTCTATGCCTTTTTTTCCAGTGCCTTAGGGTTTGAATCTAAAAGTCAGCATTGGTCATTCAGTAGATGGAGTGGATGTGAAACAGTTTGGTGTTCTTTGATTTCTTGAATATTTACTTAAGTCAGTGTTTCTTAAACTTTTTGTTATGTCGTGCTCCTGACAGAGAAACCCAACTTTAGAAGAAGGTGAATACATATACGTATACGCCTCTGAAGATGAAACTGAAAACAGCTAAAGCCAATACATATATTTGAAGACCATGGCTCACACCTATAATCCCAGCACTTTGGGAGGCCGAGGCGGGTGGATCACCTGAGGTCAGGAGTTCGAAACTAGCCTGACCAACATGATGAAACTCCGTCTCTACTAAAAATACAAAAATTAGCTGGGGGTGGTGGTGGGTACCTGTAATCCCAGCTACTCGGGAGGCTGAGGCAGAAGAATTGCTTGAACCCAGGAGCAGGGGTTGCAGTGAGCTGAGATTTCACCATTGCACTCAGCCTGGGTAACAGAGCAAAACTCCATCTTAAAAAAAAAAAATCATAATTAAATGCTGTACTTCATAGTATAATTATGTTGATACAGAATTCTGGTACAATTTGGTACAGTTATTGCCTAGGAAGATACCATGTTTCTCCTGTGGCTTTTGATACTCTAGCACTGTCATGTATCCTTAGTAGTACTTTCAGTTGGCAAAGTTTATTTGTTCTAGGCAACTTCGGATAACAAGAGATTGCTTACATAATACCCAGATTTTATGAGAAACCAATCAACTTTTTAAAATCTCAGTTTATTTTTTTCTTCTTTATGCTTTGCTTTGAATTATTTTTATTACATCTTCAAGGCCCATTACCTTCACGCCTCCCCTCCCCTCCCCTCCTCTCCCCTCCCCGTCATCCTCTGTCCTCCTATCCCCTTCCTCTCTCCTCCCCTCCTCCCCTTTCCTTTCCCCTTCCCTCCTCCCCTTCCTCTCCCCTCCCCTCCCCTCCTCTCCTTCCTCTCCCCTCCCTTCCTCTCCATTCCTCTCCCCTTCCTCTTCTTCTCACTCCTCCTTCCCTTTCCTTTCCCCTTCTCCTTGCCCTTCCTCTCCCCTTCCCGTCCTTTCCCCCTCCCCTCCTCCTTTCCCTCTTCCCTCCCTTCCCCCTTCCCCTTTCCTTACCTTGTAATGTCTCCCTCTGTTGCCCAGGTTGGAGTGCAGTGGCACCATCTTGGCTCACTGCAACCTCTGCCTCTCAGGCTCAGGTCATCCTCCCACTTAAGCCTGTTGAGTAGCTGGGACTACAGAGGCTCATGCCACCATGCTGGGCTACTTTTTGTACTTTCTGTAGGGACAAGGTCTTGCCATGTTGCTTAAGCTGGTCTCAAACTCCTGAACTCAAGCTATCTGCCTTCCCCAGCCTCTCAAAGTGTTTAGATTATAGGCATGAGCCACTGTACCCTATCCCCAGAACCATTTCTTCTGCTGCTGTTTAATCTGTTGTTTGAATCTTATCCAGTGAATTTTCATTTTGGATTTTGTGGGGTTTTTATCCCCTGGAAATGATATTTGGATTTTTAAAAAAATATATATTATGCTTCTCTCCTCATTGTGTTCATGTATTCCTCTTAACTAGCCCCTCTCAACTGGTTTTGCAAAACATTGAGCCCTGAATTAACACACAACATATACAGCATTTGGGCTCAGTTTGCATCTAGAAAATTTGCATTGTACCTTAGCATCTAGAATGGTACAGCCATGTGCCATTTTTGGGAGGCTGGAGAAAATACTCAGATAACTAGGGCTCAGTTCTCTCACAGAACCGTGATTTAGAAAGGCTGCTTTGAATATTTGAACATGGCCGTTTTAATGTTTTTGCTTGAATAATTTTTGGATTTGTTTCTATTGACTGAGTTTTCTGTAGTTACAGGTTGCATGTTTTTGTTTTTTTCACATGTCAAGGAAGTTTTTGGTTGGATGAAGGACATTGTGTATTTTATGTTGTTGGGTGTCTAGATTTTGTTGTCTTCTTTGTTGGGTTTCGTCCTGACAGTTAATTTATTGACTGTAGTTCAGTTTGATCCTTTCAAGACTTCTTTTAAAACTAATGCAGTCTCAAGTAACCTTTTTCCCAGGGTAGGCTAGCTCCAGTACTAAAGTATGACCCTTTTGGGGTCTCTGTTCTGAATGGCTTAAATTATCAATTTGGCTTTTGGGAATGCAAAGAATTCCCAGCCCCGTGTGATCTCTAGGGAACCATTCTATTCACAGCTCTTGGGTCATTCTTTGCCCAATCTCCTAGAGTTTTCATCCTAGACATGTGTTTCTTAATATTCAGCAAAGACTCAGATTCTATGCATGTCTTTGGAGCTTTTTTTATGTGTAGCTGTCTTCTCACCACAAGTAATTCCTTTGCCTTCTAGTTGATTCAAACTTGCAGATCCTTAATGTCTCCTTTCAGCTCAGAGAAACATTTGTGTCTTATGTGGAATCCCCATCCCCTCTATAGTCTGGAGTGTCTCCAGGCAGATGGATATGGCAGGGTTAAGGCTTACCTTACTTCTTTCCCTTCCATCAGGATTGTAGTCTTTTATTGCCTGGTGTACAATGTCTGAAAATGATTGTTTAATGTATTTAGTCCAATTTTTTTGTTTATTTATTTATTTATTTTCCCTGAGACAAAGTCTTGCTCTGTTCCCCAGGCTGGAGTACAGTGGTGTGATCTTGGCTCACTGCAACCTCTGCCTCCCAGGTTCAAGCAGTTTTCCTGCCTCAACCTCCTGAGTAGCTGGGATTACAGGCTCGCATCACCATGCCTAGCTAATTTTTGTATTCTTAGAGACGGGGTTTCACCATGTTGGGCAGGCTGATTTCAAATTCCTGACCTTGTGATCCGCCCACCTTGGCCCCCCAAAGTGCTGAGATTGCAGGTGTGAGCCACTGTGCCTGGCCTAGTCCAGTTTTTAAATTGTCTAGGGAGGGTAACTCTGATTCCTGTTACTCCATTGTCATTGGAACTTGAAGTCTTTCCAATTTGATGTTTACTATACAATCAGAGGTGCCTTATAAATTTTTAAATCTCTGACTTGAAATGTTTCTTACAAAGAGTGGCCAGTCTCATGGAATGAATAGTCCTTATCTGTGTGGCCATTTTTTCTCTACAGTTGGGTGTTGGCAACTTTTTTCATAAAGGACCATATTATAAGTATCATCTTGGGCTTTACAGGCTGTATCTCTGTCCCAACTACTCCACCTTGCCATTATAGCACTGAAGCAGCCATAAGCAATGTATAAATGAATGAATGTGGCTGTGTTCCAATAAAACTTAGTGTATACTGATGTTTGTGTTTCATGTCATTGTCATATGTCATGAAATATGACTCTCCTTTGCAATTGTGAAAACCATTCTGTTCAAAAACAGATGGTAGGATGAAATTGATCCACAGGCTATGGCTTGCCAACCCTGCTTTATAGCACGTATACCATTTGAGGTTACATTCCCATCTTTAGAATCTCTTAATCCTCTTTTATGTGGAAGTTCTTTCAGACAGCGTTTCCTGAATGCTGAATGGATGGTCATGAATTTCTGTTCTAGGTATTTTCTTTCTATATTGTTTGTTTAGAGGTTTACCGTATCTCAGAGTTGGACATTTGCCCTTGTTGACATACATTATACCGTTATTGACTATTTTATCATTTGCTTTTAACATTTGATGTAACAAGGTTGTATATACTTAAAGTCTAGCTCGCTCCTCTTCTGTTTATCATCACTTGTTTTAATTCATGTTATTTCTTTTCCCATAGCTATATGCTATACGTAATGAATTCATTTAACAAGTAAGTAGGGGCCAAGCATGGTGTCTCACGCCTGTAATCCCAGCACTTTGAGAGGACAAGGCAGGTGGATTGCTTGAGGCCAAGACTTTGAGACCAGCCCAGGCAACATAACCAGATCCCATTTCTATAAAAAAGTAAAAATAAAAATTAGCTGGGCATGGTGGCATGTGACTGTAGTCTCAGTCACTCTGGAGACTGAGGTGGGAGGACCATTTTAGCCCAGGAAGTTTGAGACAGCAGTAGAGCTATGATCCTGTGATCAGCCTGTGCAACATAGACCTCATCCTTTTTTTTTTTTTTTTTTTTTTTTAAATTTTTTGTTTTTTGCCCGGACTGGAGTGCAGTGGCATGATCTTGGCTCTTCCGCCTCCTGGGTTCAAGTGATTCTCCTGCCTCAGCCTCCTAAGTACCTGGGATTACAAGCACGTGCCACCATGGCTAATTTATGTATTTTTAGTAGTGATGGAGTTTTGTCATTTTGGCCAGGCTTGTCTCAAACTCCTGACCTCAGGTGATCCACCCACCTTGGCCTCCCAAAGTGCCGGGCTTATAGGGGTGACCCACCGCACCTGGCCAAGACTCTTAAAAACAAGAAACCAGATAACTAACTGGCAGGTAAATAGAAGGAGATGATAACCAAATAGTCTTTCTGAAACACCTCACTTAAGGGTATCTAATTTAACCAGTGACTGCTTCTAAAATTGCAAAGTAAGTTTTAGCAAAATGTGTTTTAATTAAAAGTACTTGGCTGGGCACGGTGGCTCATGCCTGTAGTCCCAACACTTTGGCAGGCTAAGGTGGGTGGATCGCAAGGTGTCAGGAGTTCAAGACCATCCTGGCCAACATGGTGAAATTCTGTCTCTACTAAAAATATAAAAATTGGCTGGGTGTGGTGGCACACACCTATAATCCCAACTACTCAGGAAGCTGAGGCAAGAGAATTGCTTGAATTCAGTTGGCGGAGGTTGCAGTGAGCTGAGATTGCGCCATTGCACTCCAGCCTGGGTGACAGAATAAGACTCTGTATCAAAAAACAAAAACAAAAAAACTTGACTGAGCATACAGGTTGTGTGTGTGTGTGTGTGTGTGTGTGTGTGTGTGTGTGTGTGTGTGCATAGCAGTAATAGGCATACTGGGAAAATGGATAAATATGGAGAGTTTTCGTCTTTCAAATTGCTCAGAGTCTAGTGCAGAAAGTTTTAGAGTGATAAAAACAAATGCTGGGACCCACTTTCAGGGCAGAGTAGGAAAAGCATTAAAAAAGTTTTGTCAAGTCCAGCGGAAGGAATTGTAGCATATATTCCTCCTGGAAAATCTGAGAGAGCTTCTTAATTAGAATTGGTGTTTAAGCTTGAGCTTGGTGGATTGGTAGGATTTGAGATGGAGAGGAGAGAAGAGTGAGGTGGTGGAAAGATGGGAAAGGCCCAGAGCTGGCAGAATGCAGGGTGTATTCTGGACTAGAACCTTGGCCTAAAAAGATTCTACATGGAATGGAAAAAAAATACGATAAAGCAGACTAGGATCAGGTTGTGGAGGGCTTTAAATAGGCTGGCCCTTCTGCATATAATGGGAAACTGCCAAAGATTCTGAACAGGAGGTGCCTGGATCTAATCTAGTGGTTGCATAATGGCAGAGAAGTGCAGATTTGGCAGTCAGATAGAGGTGGTTGGAATCATGGAATCTGTCCTCTTCGTATTATAAACTAAGTGAAGGCAGAATCATGTCTCTTGTGTTTATATTGCCTCGCATGTGCTGAAAAATCATGTGACAAATGGATGATTTAATAGAGAGAGATGATGAAGGCCTGAACTGCAGTGACATTGGGAGGAGACCATACTGGAGGGATATCCAAGCGATGTTTTCAGTCTCCAAAATACTGTATGGGCGACCAGGAAGAAGGTGGTACTAGTAATTAAAATGAGTGTAGACAACTCTCTAGTGATAGAAATAATGTGACAGTCACATACAGAGTTAGTCCAGGAGGCATTTGGAAATGGGGAATGGGAACTGGAGGTCAAAAGAGGAGGTAGAAATAAATGTGACAGTCACATACTGGGTTAGTCCAGGAGGCATTTGGAAATGGGAACTGGAGATCAAAAGAGGAGGCTAGGACTGGGAATATAGATTTGGAATTTGTGTCTTTTGAGCTTAGTGATGGAGAAAATAATAGGTAATATCCTCCAGGAAGACTGTGTTTGAGAGAGGATCCAAGTTATAAAACTTCAGGGAAAACGAACGTGGGAGATAGAAGATTAAGAGGCAGCAAAAAGCCAAGAGAAGTAGCCAGAAACCAGAGAGAACCACGAGGCTGTTCTGTGAAGAAAGCTGAGGAGGTGGTGGAAAGCATTGAGTGCTGTGGAGAGGATGGGGGAGTGAGAAGCAGCACTGGTCATGTGTGGGTTGCTGATTACTTCCTTAGATTTATTTCAGTTTTCTAGTTGTGGAAACCAGATGATAGTGAGTTGAGGTGTGATCTGAGGCTACGGATGTGGAGAAAATAGTGTGGGCTATTTTGAGAAATTGTGGCAAAAGCAGGGCAAGATGGGGAAGTTATCTTGTTTTATGGGGTAGGAGGTTAGAGGAATAAGAAAAGCCACTCCAAGTTACTTAATCACAGATACAGAGGTATGCAGATCTGGAACTAGATAGGTATTAACATCTGGTCCTTCAGTGTTTGAGAGATTTAGAAACCTAGTTTGCAGGCTAGTACATGCCTTTCTTATCGGGGAGAATGGTGCAGTGCAGCTTCTCAAGACTATCTGCATTGGAGGGCCAGGTTAAAAGATTGTTAGTCTCCAGTGCTGTGGACTGATACTTTGCTAATGTTATAAAAAATTAATTATTTGGAAAATAATTCTCCTGTATATTATGGCAGTGTCAAATTACAAGTTTCTGAACACTTGCTTTCAGTTTCTTATCTCATTTGTGGATGTTATCAGGCTGCAGGTCTTGGTTTGGGCAGCACTAGTATAGTGGGGAAGGGAGCAAGTGTTTTTCACAGGTGGCTCTCATGACTTCCATATAGGTTAGTGATTCCAGGTTAGGACCACTGAGTAACACATTCCAACACTAGAAAAAGAGGGACTATACTTATACCAACTCCAGGTGTTGTAAAGGAGTCAGTAGACTTGAATAAGATGTTTTCACCCTTTTACTTACATTGAGGTAAAGAAAAATTGTTTAAACATGTAGCTGCTTAAAATATGAGAACTATTACCCATCAGTTCTAAAGACTAGGAGTATTTAGAGCAGTATGAGAAAATGTTAATGAATGCTATCTTATGTTAAGACATTATGAATATTATAAATGTTAAGTGAAGACATTTCATTTTGTTCTGGTGATAACTGTAAAATTATGCATGCATATTTTGTCATGACATTTTCGGTTATAAGTGACAGAAATGCAAACCGGCTTCTCACAGTTCGTGTATTTACTCATTTATGAAGTGAGGATTGGGTGGAGTGCAGTTGGCCTTCAATGAGTCCTACAACAGGATACCATTAGGACCCACTCTTAAGAATTGTCCAAATTGTGGAAGTGGAGTAGAGACGTCAGCTGGATGGAAGAGCTTGTGTCAAAGCCTAAGGCCAGAAAAGGTAAGATAATTGGCCCCAGCCCTCACAGCTACTCAGGTGCAGCAGTGGTTTGAACCTAGGTTTCCGGTGCTGAACCATGACACAACCTCTGTCTCTCTACCCTACAGAGTGTGTGAAGCATTTGGAACCAACAGGGTTTCTAAAGCAGGATGTCATTATTTAAATTTGATATTTTAGTGTAGATCTTTTGCTTTCAGATTTCAAAGGATGTAAATTGAAGAATTAGCTTCATGCCAATTAGCATTCAGCTGCTATTTAGAATTTGTTATTGCATCTCATTTTCAAAAGAGGTTTATTTTTATTCATTCTCCTTACATTGGGCAGTATGAAGAACAAAATGAATCATTTTATTAAAATTGATAGCTCCACATAGTAGAGGAAATGACTGTGTCTTCCTTGAGTCTATGTTATAATCAGGGATTAAACATTAATGTTTAGCCTTTTTTATTTTGAACAGTGCCTATATCGTTAGGGTATAAATATTTAGCTCCTTAGGTAGCTGAACTTAGAAAGCTGGGTGCTTTTAATGGTCAGATTCCATTATAAACCGATGAGAGGCCTTTCTACAGTTCTTTGTGCTTTGATTTTTTGATTTTTTTTTTTTTTTTTTTTTTTTTTTTGAGACAGGGTCTTGCTATGTCATTCAGGCTGGAGTGCAGTGATATGAACACAGCCCACCAAAGACTACCTCCTGGTCTCAGGTGATTCTCTCACCTCAGCTTCCAGTGTAGCTGGGACTATAGGCATGCACCATCATGCCTGGCTATTTTTTATTTATCTATTTTTTTGAGATGGAGTCTTGCTCTGTTGCCCAGGCTGGAGCGCAGTTGTGTGATCTCAGCTCACTGCAACCTCCGCCTCCCTGGTTCAAGCTATTCTTCTGCCTCAGCCTCCTGAGTCGCTGGGACTACAGGCATGCACCACCATGCCCAGCTAATTTTTGTATTTTTAGCAGAGATGGGATTTTACCATGTTGGCCTGGCTGGTCTCAAACTGCTAACCTCTGATGATCTGCCTGCCTTGGCCTCCCAAAGCCTGCTGGGATTACAGGCGTGAGCCAGCATGCCTGAACAATGTTTGTATTTTTTGTATAGACAAGGTTTTGCCATATTGCTTAGGCTAGATTTTCTGATATTTAAAACAAATTTTATTTTTTTGACCAGGCGTGGTGGCAGGACAAATTTAAAAAAGAAAATATTTTTTAAATCCCAGCACTTTGGGAGGCCAAGGGGGTCAGATCACTTGAGGTTGGGAGTTCAAAACCAGTCTGACCAACATGGAGAAACCCCATCTCTACTTAAAAAAAAAAAAAAAAAAAATAGCCAGGCATGGTGGCGCATGCCTATAATCCCAGCTACTTGGGAGACTAAGGCAGGAGAATCGCTTGAACCTGGGAGGCGGAGGTTGCAGTGAGCCTAGATTGCACCACAGCACTATAGCCTGCGCAGCAAGAGCAAAACTCTGTCTCAGAAAAAAAAAAAAATTTAACCGTTGTCTGAAATGTAGGCTAAATAGAAATAAGAAGTCACAGCAATAATTTGACTTTGAGAATTTGTGTGTATTGACATTCATCTCAGGTCCTTTTAATGTTGCTATAATAATACCTTAGACTGGGTAATTTATAAAGTAAAAAGGTTTATTTAGCTCATGGTTCTTCAGGCTAGGAAGTACAGGAAGCATGCTGCCAGCGTCTCTCCGTTTCTGCTGAGGGCTTTGCATTTTGTGTCATAACATAATGGGGAAGGTGAAAGAGGACATGGAGGTGTTCAAAGAGTCAAAACCAAGGGGCATCCTGGCTTCATAATAGCCTACTCCCTTGGGAGCAATTCTGTGAGAACTAATTCAGTCTAGAGAGAGCTAGAACTCTTTCAGTACAATGGTACCAAGCCATTCATGATGGATATGCCTGCATGACCCAAACACTTCTTACTAGGCCACCTCCCAATGTGGCCACATTGGGGATCAAATTTAAGACATGAGTTTTGGTGGGAACGGACTCAAGCCCTAGCACATTTTAGCCATGTAACTTGACCTGGACTGTTTCTGGAGAGCTATAGTCATGAGAATGTATAATATACCTTTAATTTCTTGCAGCGAGTACATAGACTGAGTATGCCTAAAATATGTTTAATATGCAAAGTTCAAATTAAAAACAGCACAATTTTTAAACTTTTTTCAGTTCTGGATCTATAGAAGCCCAGATTTATTCTCATTTGCTACAGCAGATTCCCTTCAAATAACATGCACTGACAAGGTGACCAGTGAGTGAATGTCTGGTTGGGAAATCTATCATCTCTGAACTTCTTGCTGTTGAACCTAAAATATGGATGTAAATTGGATTACAACTGGTTTGGCATTGAAAAAAAATATACACAACAAACAATTATAACTTCTTTCTATGGCAGTTTTTACTGGGTGTCTAATATACTCTTTACTATCTCAAGTGGAAGTCCAAACAAATTTCATTTTTGCAGTAAAAAGTCTTTATTTCCAAAATGATTTGTTAGCCAGAAAAACTATAAACCACCTAACAAGACTTTGGTAAGAAAGAGACTTGATGTTCCTTATAAATTCCCCATTACAAACAAAAAATAACAATGCAACAAGAGTCGTGTTATCCATTCTTAGTCATTAACCTGGTTTTAAGTAAGTCTCTAGAATCAGGATTTTAAATGTACCCAACTGTGACCAAATAACATGAGACATTAGGGTGGCTTGTCCTTGGATTAGGAATCACTGTCTTAGGAACTTTATCATGGGTTGAGAGTTTTCCAGACAGCTTAGAACAATGTTGCAAAAGTGGGCAGTTCTATATGAAGAGTTTTTTTTTTTTTTTTTTCCTCAAGAAGGAAATTAAATCTCATTTTTTTTTTTTTTTGCTCCCTTTTTTTTTTTTTGGAAGAAAGCAATTCATTTAAGGATTTAAAAAATGTTGGAGACAAAGGTGGTAGTTCAGAGATGATGTAATAACGGTCCCTCCAAGAACAAGGGAGGAAAAGCCATGTCTTTTACTGAAAATGATGGAGGTGGAGGACAATATAAAAAAGACTTAACCTTCAGTACACTTACTTAGCTTAAAAACATAAAAGACCCAGTGAGTTTTTACTGAACAGTCTTTCTTGTGTTAAAGTACATATTCAGGGTTATAGTATGTTGTATTTGGAAATATCCTGATGTGTTTAATACAAATTCTTAGTGTATTCAGAGCATTATATGTGTCTCACCAATGGCACACATTTGGATTAAGCAGTAAGAAGGCCAATAAAAGAAACAGTTTTCAACAATAAATGCAGGAACAAAAACTGCTGATGGACCCAACTAAAAAAATGTCCTTTTATACTATCCCTAGGTGGTCAGTCTCCCTGAATCTGGTGTGCCTATAATTGCTGGGAAGGCAGTGTAAACCCGTGGCCATTCCTGTGCATGTCTGGGAGGACTGCCACGGTGGTGTGGAGCACTAACACAGGTTTGGCTTTCCACTAGAATTGCTTGCTCAGCTTAATCCCATAATAATATTCCTTTCTCTTAGATTTACTTTCTGTCTTGATAACTTTTTCTCTCTACATATAAAATTTTATGACTAAAATAACTAAAGAAGTACAGAGATAACTTTTTTTGAAGGAATGATTTGGGAGGCTTTGGGCAGACTTAGCAAAATGTTAGTATAATAAAAATGTTTCCTTACTAAAAACTGATTTGCAAACTTGAAAGTCTAGATGTGTGTAGGAAGATTTTAAAATTCAGGTATGGGACTGCTAAAGAGACCAATTTTGCTGCCTTGGTCTTGGTTCCAATCAGTGTTTAGTACCAAAAAGTAAAGAAGGCTGGCTTCCTAGAAGAATTGTGCATACTCCCCCCAACCCCCAAAAGCAAGGGAAAAATACACGCTAAACTTACTTATCCTTTATCTCAGGTATAAAAACTTGTTACCTTACATTTAAATAAAGCAGCGATATTTTTTTTTGTTGTTTCCGAGGGGCATCGGGAGCCAATATCAGGGGTGAGATAAATGTATTCCGAATTTCTCAGTGAAAGAACAAAAGCCACCCAACATGAATGCTCCTCTTCAAGTCTACCAGCTCTGTTTTCCTCAGGAACTACTGTTGATTGAGGAGACTTGAAAAGAGACCTAAAGTTCCACTAAGAAGACATGGGCAAACAGCGTTTTCAGTGAACAGGCCAAAGATGAGAATGAAGGGAATATGCTCCCTTCATCTGAGAATGTTTCCTACCAGCTGCACCCTGGGACTCAGGCATAGAGTCACTTCCAGACATGGTTGCCTCTCCATGTGGAGGAGGTCAAGGTCTCTGTTCTGCCTGGCCAGGTGGAAGCTCCAGAAGGACATGGACATGTTTCAGTTTAGTACAAGGTGGCTGACACTACTCACTTCTGTGCAGGAAGAGGGCTGGCTGGAGATGAGGGTGCTCCACTAAGCCTGTACCCATCAAGAAGTATTCAGAAAGGATGTCCCTGGCATCCACAAGACTACTGGGCGAACCACACTGCAAAAATGAAAACTAGTGTACACAATTTAAATTGTCTTAAACAAGCAAATAAACAATCCAGCCATTGGTGGCTCTGGAATCTGAATGCAGCCCTGGGGAACTTGTACCCTTGCTAACAAGGGTGAACATTGCATGCTCTGATCTCCTTTTTGTCTTTGCAGCTGGTAAACTGGGAGCTTTTGAATCTCTTCTTTACAGTCATGTAGCGTTCCTGAATCCCACCTCCGCACAGTTTGGTGCATTCTGACCAGGCTGTCCATGGGCGCATCCTACAACCTGAAAGCATGAGAATACTTGGTTAGGCCAGCAGAAACTGGGGACAGAACAGGGATGCTGAACTCTAGTAGAACTGTGAAATGTGGTTGTCTGGGCTCCTCCTCGGCTCAAGTATGTAATGATTTCGTTAGAGTCTTTACTTGGAACAGTTAGGTCATATGTGATTGATTGCAAAAAATGGCCACAAATGCTTCATGGGTCTTCTCATCGAAAGGTTGACTCTGTTTCTCCACCTCTTGAATCTGGGCTTGATAACTCGACTTGCTATGGCCAATGGGACATGAGCAAGAATGGGCTTAATAAAAGCTGCTAGGAACCTTTCCACCAACATGTAAGCAAGCTTGGCTAGGCTACTGGAGAGACCATCTATCTTTGCAATGACTATTCCTGCCGCCTGGAATGTACCTTTTTTTTTTTGAGATGAGTTTCTACCTGGTTGCCGAGGCTGGAGTGCAATGGTGCACTCTTGGCCCACTGCAACCTCTGCCTCCTGGGTTTAAGTGATTCTCCTGCCTCAGCCTCCCGAGTAGCTGGGATTACAGGCACGCACCACCACGCCCGACTAATTTTGTATTTGTAGTAGAGATGGGGTTTCACCATGTTGACTAGGCTAGTCTCGAACTCCTGACCTCAGGTGATCTGCCCACCTTGGCCTCCCAAAGTACTGGGAATATGGGCCTAAGCCACCACACCCAGCCTGGAATGTACTTTTCTATGTGGCAAACAACTCCAAGTTTTTCAAAACCCACTGTAACTTTCCCTGTTCTGACATGTCCCTGAACTCCAGTCAGTGTAAGATGCTCATTTCTCAGCTCCCTGAGCACTTGGTGCATTGCTCAATTATTTGGCCGCTTGGATCAATATTATTTCGGGAAATAAAACTCAAGGCTGACATGACACTGCTGCTAAACTTCTGGTTAGCCTTGCAAGAAAAATCATAAAGCCTCAGGCCATGGCTGCCTTGTCTGAGCCACACCCTTAAAATGGAAGATGACGTGTTCTGGGAGGTTCTCGGGAACATTCCCTGACGAACCAGACTCCTTTGACATATCTGTATCATTTTCCCCTTTTGCAAGGAGTGGATGGGGTTACTAAGTCATAACTGATTTTTTTTTTTTTTTTTTTTTTTTTTTTGAGATGGAGTTTCGCTCGTTACCCAGGCTGGAGTGCAATGGCGTGATCTCAGCTCACCGCAACCTCCGCCTCCTGGGTTCAGGCAATTCTCCTGCCTCAGCCTTCCACGTAGCTGGGATTACAGGCACGCACCACCATGCCCAGCTAATGTTTTGTATTTTTAGTAGAGACGGGGTTTCACCATGTTGACCAGATGGTCTCGATCTCTTGACCTCGTGATCCACCCGTCTCGGCCTCCCAAAGTGCTGGGATTACAGGCTTGAGCCACCGCGCCCGGCCTAGTCATAACTGATTTTGAGCAGTTAGACACACTTCTGGTTTTATACATGTGCAGAAAGGAAGGAACTGTGCAACTCCTGAAGACTCTTTGCTTGAAAATTTACTTTTGGCAGGTAATTAGGTTATCTAAATGTTGTTTGATAAAGGACCCTCTGACCCCCAATCCTCTTCTTTATAAATTTTGCTTGCCCAACATCTGGGAAAAAACTTGGATCTGAAGAATCAAAATGTGGTCTGAAGACTGCAGAAAATGCGACTCTCCCCCAGTCTTTTTTTTTTTTTTGTTTGACAGATCCAAGATTTGGCCCAGTGCAGAGCCCCCCTGTCCTGGAGACCAGCCCAGGCCCACACTTGGGAGGGATACCTGGGAACTGCTCCCCTTCAGACTCTTCCTTCAGCTGCTCGCTCCGCCGGCTCTCTCGGGCCTCCCTCCAGCGTAGCTTCTGGATGGATGGATTTCGAAGGCATTTCCGGATGCGGCACTTTTTCCTCTGCACAGTCTCTGGGCAAGGTGCACCTCCAAACTGAGGCTCCATTTGGATGATCCGGGTTCGAATCATGTGGCCCTTTCCACATGACTTGTTACACTCCGACCACTGGGACCACTCGGTGAGCTCACAGTCAATGGCTGGCAAGACACAGATGGGCATCAGTGTATCTCATGTCTGAAACAAGATCTGGTCACACTCTTTTTTGAACATCTCAACAAGCCTATGAGGAATGCAAAGGAAGTGCCATGTCATGCCATTTTACAGAAAAAGAAACTCCAAGAGGCGGGCTGACTTCATCCAGCCCCGGTGGTTGGTAAGCAGCAGAGGCAGGATTTGTGCCAGGTCATCACCCATTCTGTGATCCCTCTTTGACTCAAGAAGGCTTTGGAGGACTTTGAAGATGTGTTCAGAGCCTCTTGCCCTGCTCCGTGAGCTCCTAGAGTATTGTCAGATCAGCTTCAAGTATAGAACAGCCTCCCACACTCCCAAACTCACTGATGGTATTTTTCAGAGCAAGACCAACAAGCTCCCTGCTGCTCTTTGAAGAGAACATATCAACAAGCTAAAAATGGCTGACCCTTGTGGACCAATACCAAGGACACGGTAGTTATCACACGCCCTGGCAGCTTTTCATTTCGGTATCATCCTGTGTTCTATATGTGGTGGGTCTATATGAAAAACAGGAGCTATAAATGGGACATTCAGTAGAGAAGAGGGTCAGGAGCAAGTGGTACTTCATGGTTTATCACAGTATGAAATCCAGTAAATTCTTACTAATAACACATCAGTCTAATTGTCAGGATGTGTTCCAGGGAGGTAAATTATTCCAAGTGCTCTGTTGGCCTTGCAAGGCCAAAGTCAGGCTGGACCTAGACTGTTCTTTTTTAGTTTCAACAGTTTCAGTTCTTTTTTACTCCCCTGTGGGAACTCAGGCGGCTTTCTTATTTGCAAAATGGGGATCATGGTATTTTTCTCATTAGGTTATAAGGATTAAATGAGATACTCCCAGCCCTGTAAGTGCTCCATAAACGTTCATTTTCTTCTCCCTTACTTTAATGGACCCTGTGAATATGAAGACTTTTAAGTCAGACCCTCTCAGTCAGAAGGCTATGGGGCTCCAACTCTGGTGAGCTGGCCTGAACCATAGGCCAGTCTTAGTTATTGAAAATCCCAGGCCTTCTCTAATGGATGGTCCAAGTTACCTAACAGCCCAGGAGCTGAAGCATGGAGCAGGGATTGAGGCCTATCCTTGCCACATCTGGTGCTCATACTTTGGACCAAATACTCAGTTTCATCCTCAGAGCAGCCTAGGAAGTGTTTCCTGCTACTTTACAGATGGGGAAACTGAGGAACAGAGGTGCTGAATCATCGGCTGAAGGTTACTAACTAGGGGAGGGAGCATGAAAGACTGCAAGTGTGTGCTGGAGGGGGCCAGAGCCACAGCCAGTGTGCCTGCCCTTTCATCACCCAAAAGAGCAGCTCTTGGAAGACCAGCCAAAGAAACTGGCTCGCTCTGCTTGGAGATTAGTCCCATTTAATACAAACAGCTGATGGCAGAGATTTTGGAGGAGAACAGGACTGGGAGTGAGGTGGGGTGAGCTTTTGAGAACTTGGCTTGTTTTCTTGCTGGTTTTCTTACCAGTCTGCTGGAGTCATTGATTTAATGTCCAGGGTCTGGTCATGGGGAAATAAAATGGTCACAGGGAGAAGAATGGAACTCAAAAGCTCAGAAAATCCATGGGTCAGGCAAGCCCATAATTGTTGGGGGAGGGGAGGGAAAGAACTAAGGTTTTTTGAGCCTTGCACTGTTTTTCATATGTGTCTCCCATTTAAACTTCACAGCAACTTGCACTTTGGGTGTTTTGTAGACGGTAGTGGGATTCTCACTTTACTAATGAAATTGATGTAGTATTTAAGTAACTGCAGACACTGACTGCCAAACCCCAAGCTCCTCCCCAGCAAACCATTTTATTCTAGGATCTAGCAGTATCAGCACTGCCTGGTTCAGGGCTCCCTGGACTCAGGAACATAGGAGAGAAGTGATGGGCTTCGGGGAGCTCCAAGACTTACGGCATTCTGGGAGCATGCACTTCTCCACCTGCTCCAGGTCCTCATTACAGTCTCCAAGTTCCGCCAGAGACTTGAGCATCCGCTGGCGGGTTCGCATGCCCTTCCCGCAGGTCACGCTGCAGTCGCTCCACTCAGACCATGGGGACAGCAAGCATGGGATGGTGTCTAGATCAAGAACCAGGTTTGCCACTGAAAACAGGCTCCTTTTGTTTTCTTTGATCTCCCTGGCCTGACAATATCCCACCCTCAGTCCCCTGCTTTGGCCCCTGGAATAAAGTAGAATTGGCCTGTGGGTTCACGTAAGAGTGAATTCTATGGAGCAGGAAGTGGCTCTGCAGCCTACTGCTCTTCTTGTCACTCTTTCATCTTCCCGGCCCCCTGGTGGTTATGACATGAGGGTAGTAATATGACTACAGAGGTCCCCACTGGAAAGTACAATCTTCCTACAGACAGAAACATCCCACAGTCACCAAGAATCAGGCACTAAAGGAGGGGCCAAGGGCCGCATTTTTGGAGACTGTGGTCCTGAATTCCCTAGAATATGTACTTGTGTGCCTGTATACATCTGCGTGCTAATGTGTGGGCAGGCCCATATGCATTTGTGCAGAGCAGGGAGGTCATGCTTTATAGGATCAGCCAAGTCCAATGTACAACAGGAGTGGGCTGGACCTGGGTAGTGTATGCCCCACCTAAATGTATTACCCTTCCTCCCCACCACTGCAAGAAAGACACTCCTATAAAACCCAGCTGCAGGTGAATTCTATCCAAAGTTTGCCACCCCAGTATTGCTCAGAATGTCCCCCAGTGGAGGTTATTCTCTCTGGGTCTGGTTGATGTCCACACACCTATGGCTCTCATCTGGCTCCTAGCAGTACCCAGCAAGGACTATGGGCCATGCTTTCCTCCTGCTTAGCCTCTGACATTTATGGTGGTAATAGGGGGTGGCATGGCTCTCCACGCCTGGCCCTGGTCACCTCCTCCAAGCACACCCCCACGCCTACTCACGGCACTCGGGCATCATGCACTTCTCCGCCTGGGAGGTCTCAGCCTTGCACATGGAGCCATCTGCGGGGCTCATCTTGATCATGCGGTGCCGCTTCTTCATGCCCATGCCACAGGTGGCACTGCACTCGTCCCACTCGCCCCACTCGGTCATCAGGCAGCTGCTGGGAGCTGGGGAGGCCGGTGGCATTGGAGTTGCACCTGCTGTCTCCCCGACCTGCCCGTCTGCCTGGGGCCCCCCACCCGCCCGGGGCCCCCCACTCACAGCACTCCTCGTTGACCGTGCACTTCTCTGTTTCCTCAGTGGGCAGTGTACACACGGAGCCATCCTCCGGGAACTGCTTCACGTACCTCTCCCGGGACCTCATGCCCATGCCACAGGAGATGCTGCAGGGCGACCAGGTGATCCACTCGGACATGGTGCAGGTGGAGCCGTCTGCAACACACCAAGCGCATGCTGCAGCAGCGCATGGTGGCCGGGATACCCACCCGGCCAGAACTTGCTGCCAGTGGGAATCAAGGGGAGTCAGGCAGTTGAGGATGTCAGCGAGCTTAAGAGGTCTAAATCCTTAAACCGACAAAGTTCTCTAAGAGGAAATGCCTCTTTTCCAGGTGCATGGGACACTCAGAATTATTCCTTATCTCATGGAAATACATTTGAAAGATACTTGGATAAAAAGGAGGGTGTTTAAAAAATGTGTACACACACACACACGTAATAAAAGATATAATTTGATATATATGATTTAAGATAAATCATAATCCATTTGTATGAGGAACAATCCTTCCCTGTGGAGCGGGAGGTTAAGGACCTCAGCTCCTCAGCTTACACATCTCTTCAGTCCCAGCCCTAAGAAACAGAGACTTCAATGTTGACAGGCCAGTCCCAGCTTTCCTCCCACCTATTTGTAGGGATGACTCATCTATGGGAGGGTTCACTCCCCTTACTGTGGGCAAAATGAGCTAGCAATAAACCACCCGTGAAAGCACAGCCCCAAGACAGATATTTAAGACCCCTACTCTAGGGAGAGCCAAGGAATTAATGACCTGCATGGATTAAGCTTGCTTTCTTTATTCTCAGCTTGGAAGTGTTTTTTTGTTTGTTTGTTTTTTTGTTTTTTTGAGACGGATTTTCGCTCTTGTTACCCAGGCTGGAGTGCAATGGCGCGATCTCGGCTCACCACAACCTCCGCCTCCCGGGTTCAGGCAATTCTCCTGCTCCAGCCTCCTGAGTCGCTGGGATTACAGGCACACGCCACCATGCCCAGCTAATTTTTTGTATTTTTAGTAGAGACGGGGTTTCACCATGTTGACCAGGATGGTCTCGATCTCTTGACCTCGTGATCCACCCGCCTTGGCCTCCCACAGTGCTGGGATTACAGGCTTGAGCCACTGCACCCGGCCGGAAGTGTTTTTTAATTTTTCTTCCTGCCATACACCAATCCAGCCTATACATCCCTTCCTATTGCCTTATTGCATCCTGTAAGATCAGGGGGCGAGTAGCGTAGATTTATCAGGCAGAGAAAAGGATCATGGCTTGGAAAGCAGACAGCTGACCTTTGCACAGCAATCAGCTTAGTGCAGTATTGAAGCTTGGGCCCTCATGATAGAGGTGTTGCAAGATTATACTTCAAGCTTGACCTTTGGGCTGTTGCAAATAGACTGGGAATTTCTGCCATCAGCCTGACGGTCCTGACACAAAGTGAGAGTGCTCTGACTCACGCTGAGGTGGAACACAGATGAGGGGCCATGAATGACAGAATTAGGGCAATGGATCTAGATTCAGTCTGAGCTGACCTGTTAACAGGCTCCTTAAGAAGAGATTGGAGTTAAGGCCAAGAAGCAGGCTATGTGTTATTTGTATTTGTCATAAGATATGTTTGTCAGCTCTTCAGTAAAAGAAGGGGAGTGGTCAGTCAATCTCAAGAATTCCTTTGATGTCAAAAGAGAGGTTCTGTGTTCAGAGCCCTCAACACACAGATGCAGACAGGAGTCTGTCCAAAGTGGACCCCACTGACATCTACAGTTAGAGTCCTTGTGCCCTCACCAGGGACACTGTCTGACTGCTGGGCAGACCCTCCCTTCCTGAGCTCCTGCCAGCCCCTCACTGGTCTTGGTTTTCTCCTCACCTTCGTCGCTGCAGCCAGGGCCCATGCAGGGCTGGAAGTCCTGGGTGTCGGGGCAGGGGACGCTGAGGTCCAGCTGCGCCTTCAGCATGCGCTGTCTCATCCTCTTGCCTTTGTCGCAGGTGGAGGAGCTGCAGGCGGACCATGGGGACCAATTGGAGTAGATGCAGGTTTCAGGGGTGTCATCTGGAAAGAGTGTTTGACATATTTTCCCTGGGAGCCTACGGGAGCCGCCACTGGCCCTCTCCCAACACCAGCTCATTTGGGGACATGAAAAGCCATGCTGCCAGACTGGCCTTATTGAGCCTGCATCCTCCTGGGATGGAAGCAGCCATCCACTTTCCTTTAAAGATTATAATTTAACATCTTGCTAATAAATATCTGAAGGAGCAGAACGATTCTTATTATCCCTTCCTTTCAACACATGAACGTCTTTTCATTTTCAGTTCCTCATCTTGGCATTGTTTCCACACACATGCAGGTACATTGTAGGCAATTTTGAAAAGCTCAAGGCTTGTTTTCATGCCATGGCTCATGTCCCCGATGATCCCGTACACAGGTGTCATGGTAAGAATAAGGGCACTGCTATTCATTGAGTACTTACCATGTACCAGCACCATTCTAAGAACCTTACATGTTTTTTCCCTTTTGATTCTCACAACTCTATGAAGCAGGTTCCCTTATTATCCCCATTGGATAGTTGAGGAAACAGAAAGATTAGCTTCTCGCCCAAGATCATATGCTACTGAGAGTCCAGGTTGTCTGGCTCCAGATCCCGTAAGAAAACTTGAGCTTGAACCATGATTCTGTCTCTCCCTCCTGCCTGTAGGATCTGGGCCTCTCTTTACTTGCTGGGAAAGTGAATGTATCCACACCTGCCTCATCAGCTGGACTGAGAATGGAAGCAGAGAGTGGTCTGACTCCTGCAAAGCCCATTCAAATAAAATGTACATGATCATTTTAAAGGCCTGATGCTGTTCAGTATATATTCTGACATCATACCTTCATCAATTCCCTTATGCTTTGTGCCTAGTCTTGGCCTTGTTTTTTATTATTTCCTGAGGAGAAATCCTCAGAGATAGGATTACCAAGTCAAAGGACATGAATATTTTTATGATTCTTAAAACAGGTTAGCAAATTGCTTTCTCAAAGGGTTGCGTCAATTTATGTTGCCACCTGCAACAACAAAAAACAACGTACCTTCATCTTTCTCTTCTGGAGCCAGGTCAGCTACAATATCATCGACATTGTCAGGTACAATATTGCATTGTTCCCCCTGCAAAAGGAATTTTACTTGGAGGGCTCACATGAGGGAAAGAAGAGAATGTGTAGGGGGAAGATGAAAGAGGACTAAAATCTAATGCCCATTCTGTATAAAATATCACCCAGAGCCATGGCAAAGTTCTGGGCCAACATTTACTATCTGCCTGAAAAAGAAATGCCAAGAAAGCAGGAGTGGCTAACCATGGATGATAAGTAAATGGCTTGGGTACCACTGTTCCCAGTTCCACCCCATGGCAGACATTAGTAATCAATTATGGAATTCACAATGAAACCAATTTGCCTGGATCAAATTGTTCATTTGAGCACTGGGCCTCACTGCTGATTTCATTTTGCTCATTTTCTTTTTTTCTTTTTTTTCTGAGACAGAGTTTTACTCTTGTCACCAAGGCTGGAGTGCAATGGCATGATCTCAGCTCACTGCAACCTCTGCCTCCTGGGTTCAAGTGATTCTCCTGCCTCAGCCTCCTGAGTAGCTGGGATTACAGGCCCCTGCCACCACACCCAGCTAATTTTTTTAATTTTTAGTAGAGATGGGACTTTACCATGTTGGCCAGACTGGTCTTGAACTCCTGACCTTAGCTGATCTGCCCACTTCGGCCTCCCAAAGTGTCGGGATTACAGGTGTGAGCCACCGTGTCTGGCCTGCTCATTTTCATCTTACAAAATAATGTGCATGTTAGAAACCCTGGGAGACCAGGGAATTCCATATCCTGAGATGCTTTCTGCCAGGGACTCCACAATTCTAGAGCAGAAAGGTGTGCAGTCTCCCTGGCACTCCTGCTGGGAAGGGTTGATGCCAGAGCGGGCTCTAACCCAGTACCTTTCGTGCGATTCTCTCGATGACAACTCTGGCTACTTGAGTGATAGACCCACCCTCTGGGTCGTAGAAAGGACTCTGAGGATGGTCCAGGCTGGTCAAGGGCCGGATTTTCTCCTGGGGAATGGTGGGCTTGTTGGGTGACTGCAGGAAAATGTATAGAGGCAGAGAGTAAGAAAGAAAACTGGGAAAACCCACAAAAGCCATTTGTTATATGGATCAGAGCAAAGTCCTTGATAGGAATTTAACAAGTATAATAGCTACTATTTATATTTATGGAATTGTGTTCATGCCATATGCTGTGCTGGAAAATTTCTAGAACTGTATTTTAAAATTCTTCCATGTACATGGTAGGACTGTACCCAGATGAAGGAGCCAAGTTTCCGAGAGGCCATCCCAGCTAGGAAATGGCTGAGCCAGGTTGACCTGAATCCCAAACTCTCCCTAATAGACCAGGCACTGGAAAACTTTTTTCTGTAGAGGGTCAGACGGTAAATATTTTAGGCTTTGTGAACCATGCTGTGTCTGTTGCTAATACTCAACTCAGCCATGGTAGTAAAGAAACAGCACCAGATAATATGTACTTGGACGAGTGCAGCTGGCTTTGAAAACTTTGTTGACAAATCACATTGTAGGGCACAAACCATAGTTTGCAGATGCCTGTTGTAGATTGTTCTCCCATTGGTTATTTGAGGGCTCCAGATTTCAATGCAGTTGATCATATCTGAGAAATATGACATTCAGGACAGAATGCAAACTCCTTAGCCCAGCTGTCCAGAAACATTCAGAAGCCGGCCCAGCTGTATCACATCAACCTCTTGCTGTTCCCCTCTTGCTCTCTTGCCTTCATGGCTTTGGAATGCTGTCCCCTGCTCACCTGGGAACTGCTCTTTAGCGGTTCCCTCTCTGTGCTCTCCTGGCCACCGCATAACACTTCCCAGAGCCCAAATCACACTCTGTATGTGATGAGACCATGCCGGCCTCCCCAGCCAGACTGAAAGTTTGTCTAGGACATAGCCTGGGTTAGATACCTTCTGTGTCCAGGACACTTAGGATGGGGCTGGGCAAGGAGAAGGTCCTGGGGAACTTTGCCACTCACCACTCCAGGCACACACACACCTCATAGGTCACCCCGCTGTCAGTGCCAGCATCCCAGGGAATCAGGTCTTGCACCACCTTCTGGACCCAGCCGCATTCCTTGGTGCACAGATCTTCTGCAGATAAGCCTACGTTCCAGTCGGGACTTGGGCCCATCATGGTCAGGAAGGACATTAAATGGCGTGTTCTGTCCACGGAAAACTCAGCCGAAGGTGCTGCTCTCCTGGAAACCAAATACAGAGACCATTACATTAGAGCTCTGGGGTTGGTCCTCAGTCTGAGGGAAATCTGCCTGGATCATGGATGAAGAATGAGAAGGAGAGAAAGTAGTTAGATTCATGGTCTCCCACTGAACTCTGCCTTTGGCCATTACAGGTTTATACCCTTCTCTGTCCTAAGCCCATCCATTGAACAAATGTGGTGGGAACCACATACTACTACTGTACCCAGTTTTTTTTTTTTTTTTTTTTTCAGAGACCAGGTCTTGATCTGACACCTAGGCTGGCGTACAGTGGTGTGATCATGGCTCACTGTTGCCTCAAACTGCTGGGCTTAAGTGATCCTTGAACCTCAGCCTCCCTAGTAGACAGGACTACAGGTAGGCATTACCATGCCCAACTAACTTTTAAATTTTTTAAAGAGATGGGGTCTTGCTATGTTGCCCAGGCTGGTGTACAACTCCTGGCCTCAAGTGATCCTTCTGCCTCTCTAAGTGTTAAGATTACACACATGAGCCACTATGCCTGGCCGTATCCAGTTTAAGTGTGTCCACAGAGCTTACCGTTATTTGTATTTCCTTGCTCATTTTTTTTTCGTTGTTGCTCTCGACTGTCATCTCTCACTTGAGTATAAGCTTTGGGAAAGCAGGGTTTTCTCTGCCTTATTCAAGACTTTATTTACAGTGCCTGGCACAGAGCACGTGCTCAGTAAAGGCTTTAGAATACATGAGCAAGCAAATACTGCACACTATGTGTGTGCCAAGCAGTGTTGGGTGTAAGATAAAATTCACAAATGAAAACTGCTTAACAATGTCCCCTGCCTTTCTATGTACATTCTCACCACATACCTGGAGTAAGGATGATTGACTCTAATTTACAGATGAGGAAACAGACTCAGGAGGGTTATGTAACTTGTCCAAAGTCACAAAGTTAAGCGGCAAAAATGAGACCATGGCCCAAGTCACTGTTAGTTCAAGGTTAGTGTTCTTTCCAATCATTCATTTTAAAATCCTCCTGCTTGTCCTCTTTCCATTCTGCTGAGATCTCCAGTGTGCCATCAAAGGGGCATCTCCCCCAGCTTCCTGCCTCCATTGTCCTTAGAAGGCCGCCGATAGCAGGCACTGCCCAGCACCAGACTGCACTCATCAGCTCACAGCTGGAGAGCAGGGACCAGCTGTAGAGCCAGAGACCTTTGGCCGACACCTTTGGCTGCTGGGAATAACATCCCAAGTCTAAGCTATCAGAGGCTGCTCTTCCACCTCTATCTCCTTGTGTACTCAGATTCTCAGGAGTGGCTGGGACCACGTGAGATACATGGCAGCAACCACTCACATGGCTGGGAAGGAAAGAGCTGCATTCGCAGGGCACACGGGGTGGCAGTCCATGTTATTTCATTTTCCCCTCATGATAATCCTGTGGGGTTCGAATTATTAACCTGTCTCATAGAGAGGCCATGAAAGTGAATAAGTGGTTAATGAATTAAGAGACACAGCTAGGAGGGGGCTGAGGCTTGAAGGCAGCTCTGAATGACTCTGCGCCCCCGGGCTGCTAATTGTGGGGAATCCTTGGCCAGGGACCAACTGTTACTTCGGTTCAGCTGGCAGCTGCCTCCCTCAGCTGTTTGGAAGTCCCTGTGCCCTCTGCTGAGACCAGCTGCTTCTGGTTGCCCTCACCTGGCTCCAGAAAGCAATGACTGCAGACCCAAATAGGGCCTGTGGAACTGGGCCCCTTGGGTTCTGGTATCACCTCTTACAGCTGTGTGTCCTTGGGCAGATTACCAAACCTTTCTGCATCTCAGTGTCAAAATCTTTAGAATGGTGATCATATATATCTACTCCAAAGAGTTCCTGTGAGTTTCAAATGAGCTAGCTTGTAGACAGCTCTTAGCCCAGTGCCTGGCCCTAGAACTCTTATCACCATTAGTGTTACTGAGAGAAACACTGTAGGGTCGTATGGAGATCAGAAAGGGGACGGATGGGAGGAAAAGACTCCCTGAGTGGACTTTCCATTTTAGCCTGATGCTAGTCTAGGTTCCAGCACAGCAGTGGAGAACCTGGCCTGAGCCCTGGCTTTGGCGTCCGTTGACTGATAAGGACCTCGTGCTGTCTCCCATACACTCCCTCCCTTGTCCCATCCTACCTGCTACCCAAGAAAGTCCCTGGGCCCTGGCAGGCCATCCTAGCTGCAGGTTAGCTGCAGGCTCTACTGTACTTGCATCTATTGGGCAAGCTCTTCAGTGATTGGAAAAGTGTGGTCCTTGGACCAGCAGCATCAGCAACCTCTAGGAACTTGTTAGAAATACAGATTCTTGTGCCCCACCCTAGATTTGCTGAATTAGAGACTCGGGGTTAGGACCCAGCAATTTGTTTTAATAACCCCTCCAGATGATTTTAATACACCTGAAGCTTGAGAATAGTTGGTCCCCTCATCTTTCAAGCCTCAGGTCATGTCACCTCTTCCAGCAGCTTTTCTGTCTGACCTCAGCTGAGGCAAATACATAGCGCTGGATTCCCACACTCTGCACAGGTCCCTCTAGCCAGACTCCATGATTGTAATCACTTACTCACTGTTCCCTCTCCCCAGCTTAGACTGGGAGTTCCTTGAAGAAACTACATTTCACAGCTGCACCCCAGGAGCTAGGTGCCCAGTGGGCTGACTGAACCAATGTGCAAAATGATGGCTTGAGCTCCTCCACTTCCTAGCCTTAGATCTTGGGGAAGTTGCTCACTCGCTTCAAGTCTCAATGTCTTCATCTAGCAATACATGCCTGCAGTGTTGCTGAGGATCAAATGAGATGCTTTATTACGAAGCCTTTATAAACTGCTAAAGTATTGCAATGACATCATCTGCTACTTAGGCATAAATCAGGGGATTTAATTTCCTTTTCCCACGTGTGCATTTTCTGGCATACAGGTCAGTGATTTTAGCGACTTCTTTAAAGACCTGGTTCATACAAGGATTGCAGTTTATGGAGGTGTGGCATTACCTCACTAGGGACCTGCAGGACAGGGTTCTGGCCTGCCTTCTAGTAACTGCTGAGCAGAAAATATTGGCACCTGGGCATGGCTGCCCTGGAGGGAGGGGGGGGGTCCCTGGGAGGCAGGTTTTCTCTTCCATTTCCATAGAGACTGACCGCTCCATCTATCACCTTCCTGTCTCCCTAAGTATGTGATTTTGGGCTAGTCATTATAGCCTGTACCCATGGGTGACCGCCTTCACAGTGACAGTCTAAGGGGACAAAACCAGTTCTAATCCAGAGCTGTAGAAACCAAACCAACTGCCATCCTAACATATTACCCTGAAACCTGCCCAGCCGATGGGTGTAACCATCTGAGATCAAGGCCTTGTGGAAATCATTCTCAGTAAATGCATTTTGGCCCAATCTGTTGTAGCCAAGTCTGTAGCTGCAGCGAGGTACCCTCTAGACCCCGGTGAGTATTTAAAGGTGTGGGAAATGTGAAGCAGCCAATTCCTAACCATATAAGTAAATTTGAATCTATAAGGGCCTGAGAACAATTTTCTAGCATCTTCCAACATGCCCTGCAGCTTTCTTTTATCCTCGACTGGAGAATCCCTTCCTGACCCCACTTATGTAACACTTCCTGGAGGAGGTATTTCCTGGCCTCTCCCTAAATTGCTTAGAACCCCTATTCTACTTCCCCATAGCATGCTGAACTCACTCTTGCTTTGGAATTTCTTGTTAATATCTGCCTTCCCCATCAGTTTCCAATAGAGTGAGGACCATTTCTGTCTTGTGCATAGCTATATCCCAATGTCTGGCTTAGAACTTGGCATGCTGTGGATTATCTTCCAATGTTTGTTGAAATAAATGAATTAATCTAAGAAATGAACATGGAGCTTTTGTATTTCCTTTGACCTTCAAATTTAATTAAGCATCACTTCAAAGTATTTATTCTACAATAAAAAATAATGAACTGGATAAGAACATATATGAGTTTTCCTTAGAAAATGCTAGATAGGACTGGAGTGCTTTAATTTGTTCAAACTATAATAAAAATTCTTATTTATGCTTTTGCATATGCCATGTCTTCTAAGATGTGATATTTTGTTACTTTGGTTTCATCTTTCTACCTGGGACTTAGATTTGTATATTTTTTTCTAGCAAAGAGAGTTGATCTAGCCTACCATATACCAGAGTATATAATAAAGCATGATAGACAAAATAGCGTGATATTCATTTCAGATAGAAATATAAATCAACAACACAGATTGGAGATCCCAGAAACTATAGATAAGGACTATACAAAATAGGCTTCTCAAATTAGAGGAAAGAAAAGATGGTGCAACAAGTGGGGTTGGGATAAGGTAACTGTAATAAAAAAAATACTGGATTCACATTTAATATACTACACAAGAAAAAAAATAGACTCAGAGTCAAATAGAAAATAACCAGATCATAGAAAAAAATATAAAGCTTTCAGATCGATTAGAGAAATGTTAATTTTTTTCAACTTTGAAACAATAAAAGCAATTACAAAGAAATAAATTAATTGAATTATATAGTAATTAAAAACATCTGTAAAATGAAAACAATAGTACTAAGTTGGAGAGAAAAATGACATTCTGGCAAAAAGGTCTCCATTGAGTATGACTGACAAAGTGCTAATATCTATACTATGTACAGAGCTAGTCTAAATGTACAGAAAAAGACCACGATCCCACTGGATAAAGAAAAGCTATGAACAGACAATTTACATCAGAAAAATGAAAAACAAATGAAGACCCGGAGAAATGTTTCTCTACATTTGGAGAGGCAGCATGGTGTGGAGGGAAGAACCCAGGGCACTGGTGACAGAGCTGGATTCGAATCAGCTGCGTATTTAATAGCTATGTGATGGGGCTTCCACCTCACCTTTCTTTGCACTTACTGCATCTGCCAAATGGGAGCATCATCATCCTACCTCAAGGTTTTGTTGTGAGAAAACTGCTTATCATTGTGAGGGACCAGTAACAGGGCTTGGTAGAGGTTGATTTCCTTCTCATTCAACTTTTCCGAACAAAATGTCCCAAAACACCATAAAAGGGGTAATAAAGGATTTTGATACTGCTTCTAGAGACTTACTGTCCTCTCCTAAATTACAGATCCACTCCAGTGAAACGCAGGAGGGTTTCCTAAACCACTCTCATATGCTGTGTTCTGTCTCATCGTGTGTTTTAAATAATCTGAATTTTCAGAGTTGCAGAAACTCAATCTAGCCACGAGAGGGCGCCCAAGCCATTCACTAGCCTGAAGTCCTGCAGCGGGGTGTGTGTGGAGAAAGGTTTGAGGGAGGTTCCCGCAGTGATGGGAAATGCTGTGTTTATAACCAGGTGGCATCTAGGGCTCCAGGTCCAACTGGATGCTTAGATCTTCCACCTGCTCCTCTATCCAAGGCCCTTTTTCTTTTAGCATCCTGAGGACATCGATGGACCTGTGCAAGTGTTGCAGGAGGCAGGAAGAGCCCTGACATTTCCAGCCCTGATTTAAGAGAAAGATGTCTCTGGTCTCCTGGGGAATGTGGCTTTGGATTTCTGGAGAAGGTGACTATGTCTGTACTCCACTGGCCTCAGAAACACGACCTTTGTCTAATCAATGTTTATCTGGCAGAGTGGCTGGGAATGATTTAAGGTGATGACAGTGGTTGCAGGATTCATTTTAAGAAAGGAAATAAAAGTTATTTGTAAAAGTTCCAGTAATTCTTAGCATTCAGATGCAATTGGAGGAACTGGATGATGGACATATAGAATTGATTTGCAGGAAATGTGTACATTTTCTGCTTAAGCACCAGAGGAACTAGTGAAGGATGTGGGTTTTGTTCAGAATCTGCCTTTTCTGTCTCTACCTGCACCCTGGGCTGTTGGAGCCACAGCTTGATTTATTGAGCTAAACAAGTCAGCAGCTAATTTGCTCATTCATGGCTGTCCTTTGAGAAGTGGTCCTGGGGATAAAGATGCAGATCATTGAAAAACAAGTCAGTTTCCACGGGCAGGACCTCGCAAAGTAGGTCACCCTGGCTTTCCACTGGGCTGAGGGAGGCTGGAATCCCATTAACCTCAATCAGGCAGGCTCAGCAAAGAGGGGCAGGGCTGTTTCTGCAAAACAAAACTTGGCTGCATGCAGGCTTCCTAATTTGACTTCCTAATGAGATTTGGAAGAGGAAAGGGGAGACTGGGGTATGGGAAAATCAAAGGAAAATTCCTTTCCCTTAGCAAGCTGGTAGCACCGAGTGCAGAAGTTTTGGGTGTTTGGGAGGTCTGAGTGTTTGCCATCAATTAATTTGGTTCCACTGGGGTTTCGGGAAGTTTGAGGGGTGGGTGAAATGTGGGAAGGTGTCCCAAAATATTCATTTCAGTGTTTGAGAAAGTCTCTCCCATCTAAAAAAAGAGAAAAAAAAAAAATGCTCCTTTGACTCTTTCATCCCCTTGGAGCCATGTTCTCTTCTTTCATAGCAAACTTCACAGAAGAGTGGTCTGTACTTGCTGACTCCATAACCTCATGCTCTGTTCATAGCTCATCTGCTCTGGGCTGTGTTTTCCCTCATCACTCAGCAGAAAGGATTCTCCATAAGATCACTGATGACCTTCCTGTCGATAAACCCGAAGGGCATCCTGCAGCCCTGATCTTTCTTGTTCTGTCAGCTGCACTGGGCACAGCTGACCACCTGCCTCAAACACTTTCTTCCCCTGGCTTTCTTAATACCAAGCTTCCTTACCAACTTCTTTGTTACTCCTTTTCTGCTTCATTTGTAGGCAAGATTCCTCAACATTCAATAGTAGAGATCTTTGGAACTCAGTCCTAAGCCCTTGATTCCTATTCTCATGCCCTTGGCATTGATTGTCTCCCATTCCTTGAGGACTCCCAATTTCAGATCTCAGCGCAGAATTCTTGCCCTAAGTTCCAGAGCTATATATCGCCAACCATGTACTTAACACCTCTAACTGGAAATCTTGAATACATCGTATTCTAAATGTAACAACGTACATTTAGAACTGACCCCATGATCTTTCCCACGGAACTTCACCTAATCTTTTCAGCCTTATGAGTGGCTTTACCAACTCCTCCTTATGCCAGCCAGTCATGTGGGAAACATTTTGACTGCTCTTTCTCCACCTCCTTATTCCACCTCTTGCCACAGCCTGCTGATTGTACCTCCTACGTGTCTCGCACATCTCTGCACCTCTCTCCTTGTCTGCCACCACCACCGTCCTAGTGAAGTCACAGTTAATTCTCTCTGATTTTCTGCAGTAGCCCCTCACTGGGCTCGCCACATCTACCCTTTCACACAGGGGCTGTTATTGCTTTTTATTTTTTAATGCAAATATGATTATGTCATCCTTTTGCTTAAAACCCCTCAATGACTTCCCATTATTATTATTTTTCTGAGACAGGATCTCGCTCTGTCACCCAGACTGGAGTGTGTGGCTCCCTGCAGCCTCAGCCTCCTCGGCTAAAGTGATCCTTTTGCTGCAGCCTCCCAGGTATCTGAGACCACAGGCACATGCCACTGTGCCTGGCTAATTTTTAAAGTTTTTTGTAGAGATGGGGGTCTTGCTTTGTTGCTCAGGCTGTTCTCAAAATCCTAGGCTCGAGTGATCCTCCTGCCTCCGCCTCCCAAAGTGTTGGGATTATAGGTGTGAGCCACTGTACCTGGTCATTCTCATTACTTTTAATGGAAAAATTCAAATAAAACATTTCAAATGTTGCATGGCTTGGCCCCACACCAAGCTCATCTTTGATTTCTGGATCTAGTTAGACCAGAACCTTTTAGTGCCTTAGACATAGTCTACTGTCTCCTCATATAGGGCCTTTGCACATGATGGTCTCTCCAGATTTTCTAGAATGCTCTCCTCTTGCTTTGCTGCTTTGCTTAGATAACTCTTACTGCTTCCTTAGATCATAGCTTCATTGCCATTTTAGGAGGAAGCTATCTCTGACCCCCAGGCACACTCATGGCACTTCATGCCTTTCCTTCATAGGCATGCCACATTTATTTGTGTGATCATTTAGTGAATATCTCTCCCCACTGAATTGTAATTTCCATAAGGAACTCTGCTGTGCTCACCACAGTTCCCCTAAGCACCTTTCACAGAACTTTTTTTGGGGGGACCTTCCTATCAAGGATGCGTCAGTCCTTGATAGGATACAGGGTAAGTGAAAATAAGATTTTATTTTGTTTCAGGGTAGGTGTGAGACCATTTGGTATGGTCACATTGTAAATTTCATGCTAATCAGAAAGCTCATTGGCAGATATATGTGTCCTAGGATAAAACAAGCCAGGCCAGGGGCTTGTGTTACTTACACGTTAAGAGGCTGCCAGGCTGGCCACTGGGCTTTGGCTTTGATGACGGTGAGGACCTCATCGCTCTGCAAAAAAAGGACCACAGATATTTAGTGAACAGAGCTGGGCTCATGGGAACAACAGGGCTTCAACCTGGTGACACTGTCCACCCCCACTCCCTCACCTGCTACTGGGGCTCTTCCTGCCTGTGTGTGGAACCACCTTTCTCCAGGATGGGGGAACCCTGGGGCCTCAGTGATACTGGGAAAAGGGACTGAGTGTCCAGGTATGACCTGGACAATGAAGGGCCACTGAGTCACACCTTTGGTTTCCAGCTCAGTCCACCCCTTTCCCACTAGAGCAGAGCTCTGGCCTGGATTCTGCCTTGGTTGGCCAGACTCCCCTGTCACGTCCAGTCAGAGGGCAGAGACATGCTTTGTGTCTAGACACTGAGTGGGACCTGATCCAGGCCAGCTGGATTAGCAGGAGCTGCCACGTGGCAAACACCTGGCCCTGAGGATTGTCCCCCGAAGGCCTGTCCTTGTGAGACCCATGCACTGGATCAAACTCCCTTCCACAAGGAGGCCAGCACAAAGCCAAGGCCCCACACTCATGGTGCCACTCAGGTTCTCTGGCTCTATTTTGCTTTGGATGGTGAATAACGCACTGTTAACCTAAAGTTATTTTAGGGATAACTGGGGAACCTAAAGTAATTTTTTGAGAAAGAATTTGATAATTAACATTTTGAAAGAAAGCATTAAATGGTCATGATAGGGCAAAACTCAGAACTTTGTTGATCTTGCTCAACTTTGAGGTTTGGTTGGGTTTTTATTTTCAATTACATGCTGCGGGTGAGTGGGGCATGATCTTTGCAAGGCTGGAAGCCTTCACAGGTCCAAGTTCAGCTTTGGTGGGGGGCTGTCTCCAGGGTGGAGTCAGCTGGCCTTGTAGCCCCTTTCCCTGGCCTGGTACCAGCAGTGCTCAGACACAATAGTCCATTGTGTGTGGAAAACTCCAGAATGTCACCAGCTGGGAAAGGAAGAGCTTTGTTGCCAATTGCACAGATCCCTGAGTTCCAGGGGGAGAGACTTGCTTGGCTGGCTCACGGCGACAAGGCCACAGTCCTTAGAGTTGTGGCTGGCAGCAGGTGCCTAGAATACAGTTAGGATGAATTGTGACCTTCTCTCTGGTTGGGTACCTTGCCCAGAAAATCCCACAGCCCCACAGAAACTGGAAGGAAAGAGGACAGTGATGTCTCCAAGGCTCAGGCGCAGAAGTTAAAAAACTTTCTGGTCCAGAGATTCCCATTTACCGTGCTGGGTGATGATGGTGCTGAGGAAGGGGGCTCAGCCAGAACCAGTGTGGTTCTGGCTCCCACAGATGGTCCTGGGCGAGGGGAAGGTCCCAAAAGGACAGGCCAGCAGTAGTGAACCACCGACGAAACTCACAGCCTCCTCCTAGGCTCAGGCTCCCTAGGGTGCCCTCTTTCCATCAGATGAAAAAAATCTTCAGATGCACAGACACTCCCACATTCACACGTCTGCAGGCAAAGCATTTCCTAGTCCCAATGGAGCAGTTACATTTCTCAGGCAAAATCTATTTATTTGTTTACAGTGTATCCCTCCCTCCTAGAAAATATCTGTTGAATGACCGAGAAGTTGTTTATCATGAAGTCACATATGGAACACGACCTGTCTTCAGAGTGCCAGCTCTGTGTCTCCCCAGACCTGGTTTTTCTCCTAACCATCTCATATGCCTCATGGCTGAGCCCTTCCTCTGACCTCAGAGTCTGGCTGCTCCTCCAGCAGCCCAGGCTGGGTTGAAGGCCCAGCCACCAGCTGCATGAGCCGGATGCTGAATACCAACACCACCAAATCCCTCTACCCACCACACACTCAGGCTGAGGCCTCCCATGTTCACCTCCTTCCACAGTCTCCCCTCTGGCCACTCCATCTCCAGTATCTTCTTGCTTCCCCAATCCATCCTCTACGTGCCGCAAATCTGACCATATCTGTATCCTGGCAAAACCCATCAAAGGCTCCTTGCAATTTCCATGACAATTTCTTACTTCCTGAGTTTTGCTTACATGGTCCTCATCATTTGGCTCTGCCCTACTTTTTTTTCCCTTAATTTTTAATTCCAGAATAATACACATATTGTGAACATTTTAGCATCACAGAAACTCATAATGTAAAGGCTGAGCATAGTCTACTTCAACAGTGACCCTGCCTTCTGCCTCCTTCTCCCTCTCCAGAATAGTACAGCTTGGTATGTATCTTTCCAGATCTTTTACGATGCATATGTAAGGATGTGTGTCTGTGTTTGCATCATTACATATAGCTTTCTCACAAAATTTGTCTCATACTGAATCTTCTTCTGTACCATGACTTTAAAATATTTCCTTACCATTTCACAGGAAACTTTCCATCAGTACATACTATACACCATGTACACTATACTATATAGCTTAGCTTTCTTTTTTGATTTTTAAAGTGTTAGATATCCTCAAATTACAGCAAGCCAAGTCAAGGCTTATTAAAAGGAAATCCACGATAACAGATCCTGGTAATGAGATACTGTCTGATGACAATCCCTTTGCTCTTGAAGAAATATTTCACTAGAAAATAAAATCAATGTGGGTGGAGAGAAGGTGGCCACCAAATTAGCTGGCCCTGTAGATTCACCTTGCTTTACAGTAAAATTTTGGTTGACAGGTCCCAGCTGACATAGTGATTTTGCTTTTGCAGTGTAACACACACAGACACACACAGACACACAGACACACACACACACACACACACACACACACACACACACACACACACTATTGCTTCTTGGCCTTTTGGCTAACATCAAATGTCTAACTCCATAAATACCGTTTGGACCCTACATTATCATTTATTTATGGTGATAAAACTCCATTTAGATCTATGGAGGCTCCAAGGTTGGTGGGTCCATATGTGTGGGCATGACAGCTTCCTGCTATAAATCTTTTCACCTAGAAGTTATATGACATCTGCATGGTCAACAGCTTATTGTTCTCCTTTTTGGTGATCATTTGAGTTCAATAAGAAAGCAGAAGCATTCTATAACATTTATTTAAAAAGCTAAATATTTTTGTTGAAGCAGCAAGTTCTCTGGAAGAACTTAACTTCTATAGGATCAGAGAGCACCTTGCTCATTCATGGCCATATCCACATGCCCATGGCCGCTCAGTAGATTGTTGAAAAAGCAAAGCCACCCCGTTCTCCTTGATGTATGCAGATAGTTACGTAGCAGGGGATGTTCTCTCATTTATTCCACTGGCACCATTAGTGAATAGTTGTTTTCATAAAAGATGCTGTGATGAAGACTCATGCATATATTTATTTTCTCATACATCCAAGGATTCCTGTGCCATTGAGCCATAGGAGTGATCAAAACATGAAGCGAATTTAAAATGAGTCGGCCTTACCAAATTGCCCTCCAAATGTCTGTACTAATTTATACTCCCAGAAAGGATGTGTATGTGTCCATGTCCTCAATTTAAGGCACACTGGATACTATCCATTTTTTTAATGTTTACGAATCCAGCAGGTAGGAAAGTAGTGTAGTTGAGACGCATAAGACGTAGAATCATACCTGAGGTCATATGCTGACAGTACCATTTCCTAGCTCTGTGTTTTTGTTTTGTTTTGTTTTTGAGACAGGGTCTCACTTTTTCACCCAGGTTGTAGTGCAGTGGCACGATCTCAAATCACTGGAGGCTCAGCCTCGGGCTGAAGCAATCCTCCCACTTCAGCCCCCTGAGTAGCTAGGACTACAGGTGTGCACCACCAGCCGTGGCTAATTTTTGTATTTTTGTAAAGATGGGGTTTCACCACATTGCCCAAGTTGGTCTTGAACTCCTGCGCTCAAGTGATTCACCTGCTTTGGCCTCCCAAAGTGCTGGGATTGTGGGTGTGAGCCCCTGTGCCCTGCCAAGCTCTGTGTTTTTTGGCCAGTCTCATGACCTCTCTTAGTTTTCTCATCTGTGAAATAAGGTAAAATGAGTACCTTCTGCATGTGGTTGTAACGGGGAGTAAATGACAACCCATGTAACGTGCTAATGAAGTGCCTGATACATAGCAAATGTTCCATAAATATTAGTGATCATTCCTATTCTTACATTCAGGCCAAGTTGGTATCAGAATTGACTTGTGCTGCCTGAGTACAGAGACTGGAGCACACAGTTGCAGGTACAAACCCACAAAGTCTCAGGAGAACTTCCCTCCATTGGAAGCCAAGTTCTGAGTCTCAGAGAGTGTATCATGGAAGGTTTATGTAGCTGGGTGAGTCTTGGATGGGGGCATTGGGGCCCTGGGCATTTCACATTCTAAAGAATGATGGATTTAAATTCAGAGTAAGCAACCCATACTTCAGACGTAAATGAAAAGCATATTTTAATAAGTCTCTAAGGCACAGACAGGAACTTTCAAGAATCCTTAGAGCCCTTCTACAGCTCCCACAGGACACTTTCAAACAAGCGTTTCAGGGCATTCACAGTTCATGCGTCATTTGGATGACACTAACACTTTTCCAAAGACATGCCAATTAAAATTAAAAAAAACCCCAAAGATATTACAGGTCACTCATATTAATTTTTCATTTTGCTTTTGGTAAGTATATCGTAGGGATTTGATAGCTATAGGTGTACCTCATCGTTACTGGTACCAAATGGGAACAGCACATCCCCTAACAGGCCATGGGCTGAGGTCAGGTCTGGAGGGAGGAGGGTTATGTGGAGTGAAAACATATCTGAGACAAATCTGTTCTTGAGGCAGCAATCACATCAATACCAGGAGATAAACAGGGCAGTCTAAGCAAAATAGAGAGTAAAACTGTGAGTCTAGAGTCAAGGTTGGTGTCTGAACCACTCTTATCCCATACTGGCCCTCCTCTGCACTCCAGAACCAGCACCCAACGAGGGAGCGCTCCGAGCATCTCAGCCGTGTCCACAGCAGAAGGCCAGAGTCTGTCCCCTCCTCCCTGCCTTGCTCTTCACCTCCCCCTGCCCCCGTCCTTCTTAACTTTTTGACTGTTTTCCAGTCCTGAACCACAAGCTGTT